GCCCCCTCCTGGCCATGGCACAAGGAGCAAGAGGCAAGCGGCCGTCACTGCTTGCTGTGGTCCCCGGTGAGCGCCGGGGAGACGCCGGGACCCCCAGGCAGTCATCGCGTCTCTGTTTCAGGCGGAGGCGGCGCGGCTGAAGCAGGATGCCAGCGCTCTCCTGAGCCTGGTGGACACCTCCATGGCACAGCACAGGCAGCTGCAGAGCCGCACGGGGCGCGGGGAGGAAGAAATCAAGCGGCTGCTAGAGGCCGAGAGAGCGGTAAGAGGTTGGCTGGGGGGCTCCGGCTTGAGTCGTCTTCAGCATGAGCTGGAGCCCCGGTGGGAAGCCCGTGGCGTCACCGCTGCTACGTGCTGTCCTGGCCTGGTCGCCTTCCCCAGAAACGCAGACGCTTGGGGTTGGTCTTCTGGAGCCGGTGGGAGACCTCACCATGTGCGCGGAGCTGCCGGTGCAGGGTCTCACCAGCACACCTCCTCCACGTGAGCAGGTTAACGACCTGTTCCTGGAAAGATTAGAGCCAAGATGACTCACGAGGGCTGGAGCTGGTTGAGAGACTGTCCGATGCTCCCGTACTGTGTCCTTCATCTGCCTGTTGTGTCCCGTTGGCCTGTCACAGATGCTGACGCAGCTGCTGTCCCGAGCCAACCTTGCCAAGAGCACAGCCCTGCAAGCCGTGAGCGCTGGCAACACCACCTTCTACGAGGTGGAACAGATCCTGAAGAGCCTCCGGGGTAATGTCCTAGAAACCCTTCCTTTCCTCTCCCCTGTGGGATCTCACAGAGGCAGCACGGCTTCGTTTCCACATGTGTTTCTTTCAGAGTTTAACCTGCAAGCAGATGACAAGAGAAGGGAAGCTGAAGACGCCATGAGGAGGCTACCAGTTATCAGCAGCATGGTCACAAGTGCCAGGGAGAAGACGGACCGAGCTGAAGCGATCCTGGGCAGTGCCGCCTCCGAATCCAAGGCGGCCAGCAGCGCGGCAGGGGAAGCAAAGGAGATCACCATGGGGATCCAACAGGTGAGGGCAAGCCCTGGTGCTATTGGTGGCAGAAGGGGGTTTGGAAGGGAAAATCATGGAAGAAGAGGAGGTAGGTGGCAACTCCAGCTCCACTTCATGGTGGAGCTGGTGCGTTGACTGTTGGACCTGATGCCTTGACTTTTTGGCTGATGTTTGTCTCTAGCGGATCCTGCAGAGATAACAGAGTTGTCTCTAGATGAGCAGGTGCATGGGGATCTTTGCAGGCATGGTTGTCCTGTGAGGACCTCTGTGGCATCTCTCTGTAGCCACCTTTTGGTGACCAAAGGGATTTTTCGCTTCCACAGCCTGAGTTGCTGGCATGCTTGTAAGGTCCCAGACTTGTTGTTGTTGGGTTCAACTCCCAGGCTGTATGTTGTAATTCTCAAGGGATTCGCTGATGTCTGCAGGAGGGGTTGAGCAGTAATCATAGAAGCTCTCTGGAGCAGCTGGTGGGAGCACATGAAGGCTGCAGGAAAGCCTGCAATAATTTTGGGTCCCTGTGGAAGGAACCAGTTTCCACCAGCTCCATGCCCCAGTGCACCCAGACTGATTTCAGCTGTGCTCTGCCCCATGAAAGTCCTTTTGCTTCCCCGAGGAGATCACAGGGCGGAGATCACGCGGCTGAAGGGGAAAGCCAACAAGACAGCCGATGGTGTCCTTGACCTAGAGAAGGCAGTGGCCGCCCTGCAGCGCGAGGCCAAGGAAGTGGATGGCGAATTTGAGAGGAAGGTCTTGGAGGTTGAGGCGGATGCCACTGTGATACAGGAGGTGAGTCCCCATCTCCCTCGCCTTGCCCCCTTCCCTATTGACATTTGGGCAGGATGTCAGCTTACAGCTGCTGCCTTCCCTTCTTCAGACAGCTCAGGAAGCTCAGAGGGTCCACGCCAAGGCTGGCCGGGCAGACGTGGTTGTGCAGGAGACGTTGAGCGCCCTGGAGGAGCTGCTGCGTCTGATGAGTAGGTTTTGCACCACTGTTGTAGGGCGTGGACGGAGACAGGTCCCCGCTGGGGTCTAGGCAGGCGCGCTGGGAGTTGTGCGGGAAGCTGCCCCAGATGATGCCTGTAAATGGGCTGGGCAGCAGGATGGAGATGAGGTATGTAGAAAGATCTAGTCCCCAGCCTCCATGAATCATTCCCTCTTCCTTGCTTTCCTCCTGTGCAACAGACCAGCCTGGTGCTGTGGACGAGGATGCCTTGAAGCAACTCGAGATGAATTTTAGCAAAGCCAAAACCAGAAGCAACCAGCTGAAGGACGAGATGTCGGAGCTGGAGCAGACAGCCGCGCTGCAGAAGGCCCGGGTGCGGACACTGGAGACCAGCATTGACGAGATCCTGGCGGATATTAAGAACCTGGAGGATATCCGGAAGAGTCTTCCTCCGGGCTGTTACAACACAAAAGCCATCGAGTTGCCATGAGCGAGCTATGGAAAGGCTGCAGCACCTGCCAGGCTGTGAAGGCAGAAGAGCCTGGCCCAGCTGCCCTCCCCAAACCCGGCAGGACCGGCTCTGCGTGTGGGTGTGTGTGGGTGTGTGTGTGTGTTGAACTGATCCTTACCCTCAAGTTCAGTGTGGCGGCTGAGGTTTGCGTCATCACGCTGGCCCTGGAGAGCCCCTGATTTTTCAAAGCGGTCCGTCCCTCGGTCACAGGAGGAAGGAGACGCCTGGTTGCTTGAAGGTGCTACTGATGGCACAACATCCCATTCCTACAACATTTCTGAGGTGTAGATGGGGGTTGCTTGGTGTCAGCCTTGGGAATTTGCATGGTTCAGAGCCTGTGGATCCCCTCTCTTGGTCTGGCACACACTGAAGGAGTCTCTGTCCTTACTTTTGACACTGCCACCACCTCCTCATGTTCTCCGCTGGGTCTTCCTCACCTTTGGTAGCTCAGGAGGCAGGGAGGGAGCAGCGTGAAGTGGCAGCTGGGGGAGATGAGTTTTGACCTGTGACACTGGTGATGCTTCACGTGGCTTTCTCCTCCCAGCATGCCCAGTCCTCACCTTGCTGGGAGTGGTGCTGGTGTGGCTTTTTGCTGTGGCTTGGAGATTCAGCATCAGATGCTGCTGATGACCCTTTTCATAAAGCTGCAGGTCTTCCATGGTGCTTCTCAGTGAGGTGGTTGCTGTTTTGCCAAAGGGAAGAAAATAGAGGTGTCAGCTGGCTGCGAGCGCAGGGTGATGTGCGGGTGGGGGAAGAAGGAGACCCCAGGCTAGCAGGTTAGCGGGGGAAGAGGGAAGTGCTGGGGCTCCTCACGTGGAAAGTCTTTCCTGCTCCACCTGCTCCCTTCAGCCAGGAGGAGAGGGTCCCCTTTCCTTCTCCCACACTTCTTTTTCAGACCCACAGGCCCTGAGGGATGGCTTTCTTGTCAAAGCTCCTCCTGAGCAAGCACGGGTCTCCCTACCACCCCCTTATGCCCTCTCCAAGGGTCTGCAGCCACCAGCTCTTGTGTCTGAGCCCAGCCCCACCCTGCTGGAGTGCCAGCACCCTGATTCGATCCATGTAAAATAACACTGACGATGTCTTGAGTGCGTCTCTGCCTCGGGTTTGGTGCTGCCCGTTTTCCCCTACTCCCCGCGTGGTGCTGGATGTTTCTCAGAGGCTCAAGCGGTTGTCCGCAGGGTTTCCCACCGTACGTCCGCGCAGAGCTTGGAGGAGCCCAACACCACAGTGCTCCCTTCACCCACCTGCAGCTTTCCGGTGGGCCCAGCTCCGTTCCGACACCCCTCCCAGCTTCCTTTAGATGCTGTCTGCGGGGACAAAAGGGCCAGCGGGTGCTGGAAGTGGACTCTGCTGAAGCCCTCTGACCTGCGTGGTGGTGAAGGATGGAGGAGGACACTCCTGATGGAGGAGGACACTCTGGGGGACACGCTCGCCCCTCCTTAGCTCTGATTCTCTGATAAAGCAGCGCCCATGCTTTTGCTTGATAAGGATATACCGAGTAATATGTCTGCCTTATACTTTTATTTAAGTGAGATGTATTCTTGCCTCTGGCATGTCTTCTCCTGTTGGACAGCATAGGGACAGGTATGATGGACCTGACTTTGTTTTTCCATGAGTTGGGATTTTTGAAAGGGAGAAGGTCAATAAATAACAAATATTTCTGGCTGGATCTTGCCCGATGGTTTATTTTCTCTGGCTGCCCGTGTTGGGTGAGCCTGACCACTGGTGCTCCCAGCAGTGCAGCCGCTTGCGCTCTTAGTGCTCGCTTGGTCTGGGGACTGTTTTGAAATTACACCAGTAACATCTTTGTTTTGTTTTGTTTATTACATAATTTAAACATTTTGCTGATAAAGTTTTTTTTTTTTTGTCAATGACTGTTTTTTTTTTCATATAGCAACCGAAGAAAAAAAAGGAACAAGTTAGGCTCCAAAACTTTTGACAAAGGTGAAATCGGTGGCATGGCAACTTCAACCCCTTTCCCTGCCCCCCCAAAAGGCATTTGGACTTCATTTCTCTTTCAGCAAATTGCACTGTTTAAAAGTGGAGGCTCAAAGACCAAAACCCACGAGCTTCTTCCCACCCCTCCCCTGCACCCTGGAAACCCTGGTCTTCACCTCCCCGGCAGATCTTCAGGGACAATGTTGGGTTTTTTTTTTCCCCTATACCCACCCAAAGACATTTTCCAAACCAGTCCCAGAGCTGAATGACCCGTTACAAACCCCCCATCCCACCCCGCCCCGTACTCTGTCACTGAATGGATACGCGAAGGCGCAGGTAAGACTAGTAAGAGAGAATAGACTCGTCATCCGTACCACAAGGCTACGTCCCTAAGGCGTGCCATCCTAACCGCGGCGGGTGGGAAGCCAGCTGGCTTCCCGTGTCCCATCGCACGTACCTGAGGGGGAGGGAGGATCCGAGACAGCTCTCGGACACGCCGCCAGCCTTCCTTCTCCACCTCCTTCGGTTTATTTCCCCGTGTCTTTTCCTCAGTTAAAACCCACTGTCCTTCCACCCCCTTCAAAGAGGCGTTGCTCCCCCAGAAGGAGCGGGGAGGATCTCTGTGTGTGTGTGTGTGTGTGTGTGTTTTGGAGGCTGGTTGCTACGGTTGCTTTTTCTCCTCCTGCTTGGAGCTAAAAAACACGGGTGACGTCTGGCAAGGAGAGGAGGCTGCTGTCCGAAATAACCGATGTGTTGGGGTGGAGAGGGAGGAGAGACTGAAAAACTGAACACGCGAGAACAACGGGTGGAGAGGAGTTTAGCTACTGGCTTACGTACATTGGGTGTCTCATGGGTGAGATGTCCCACCACGGGCACCTGCCCAGCGTGTCAGCTAAGGGAGCTCAGTAGGGTGTTGGTGAGCAGCTCGAGCTGGCTGAAGACCTCCTTGGAGAAGAGGCATCCTTGCACTCTGTCCCACACGCTCTCGCCACACTCTCTGCTTTGGCCTCTCTGCATTTCCTCACCCCACAGGATACATACGCAATCACCTGGAGACACCAGAGCTGGCGCTGAGGGACTCAGCTGCCAAATTTACAACCGTTCCAGAAGAAGCCTCTCCATGCGGAGGGAAATCCCTGGCAAGGAAAGACCCCTTCTGGCCTTTGGGCAAGTCACATCGCTTCTGTCTCTTGTTTTCATTCTGGGAAGGGCTGTGCCCACCTTGAGAGGTCATTAGCTACTGCTATAAAACCCTGCCTGCTGCAAGGACCCTGTGGCTGTAGGCTACTTAGTTTTGTCCAAAGTTGCTTGCTGTTACGGAGGTGCCAGCAGCACCCAGCAGCTCACCAAATTTAGTACAATGTCTTCTCTTTGCAGCTTCCATGAGAACAGCTTGTGACTGTTTGTAGACGTTTAAGGGAAAAAAAGAAAATAAGAAAGGTAATTTCGGATCTTTCCCTGGAGCACCCTGGAGGACTCTCAGCCTTCAGGCGTTTTAACGCAACACTGGCCCTTGCTGGGGACCAGCAGCTACTCACAACGCTGCCCTAGGAGAGCCTCAAAGCCAGCATGGGCACTGGTCGTGCTGGAAAGGGTGGTGGTGCGGGCTAGCCTGAGCCTAGTTAGCCCAAATTTGTGGGGAACGGGCGGATGTCGAGGAGCTATAGGCAGCAGGGCTATACCCAAAGCGATCCAAGGTTAGACGGAGCAAAGGGATAGGAGAAGGTGGAGAGTAAAGCAGGACTGTACCTCCCTCCTTGCGGCTGTGACCTTTCCCCGGGGCCGTGCAGGGTCCTTCTTGCACCCTAGGGATGCTCAGCAGGACAACGCTCTGCTTCAGCAACCCTCCTCTCCGCAGGACTTAGTTGCAGGACTGACTTAGTTTTCCTTTGCTCCACGTTCCCTGCCCTGCTTTTGATGTCAGCATCTCTGCTCAGCTCCATCCCCGGCGTTTGGGGGCACATCACAGGCAGGAGAGCAGGAGCCTGGCATGTCCCAGGGGATGTGCAAAGCAGCCACAGCCGGTTTGGGAGGGGGAAAGTACCATGCATTTAATAATCTCTGCAAGGAGAGGAAGAGGGTAGGAGTGGAGGAAGAAGGGGGAAGTTTACAGACAGATATGGGGAGCTGGAGGCTAGAGGATGGGGGTGGACCCAGCCCCTCTGAAGCTCAGCCAGGTTTGGGGCAAATTCTCACCAGAGGCTTTGGGTCACCACCTGCTCCTTCCTCCCTCGTTTCCTGGCTTCACAAATGGCAGGTCCCTTTCTAGGTGCTGTGGGCTGTCCCCTCCAACACTGGACTGGAGTAGAGCATCAGCCCAACTCCATTCGCCTAAGGGTGGCTGGGTTCACTTGCAGCCAAGGGAAGGTGAGACGTGACGTACCCCCTACTAATGCTTTGGCAACAATGCTTGCCAAGGCCTCTGCTCCCCTTCAGAAATGCCCTCTCTATGATTTTTCATGGCCAGAGAAATAATTTTGTTAGCTGAGTTGTCCTACTGCTGGCCTGAAGAGGTCCACCTGCCATGGGGCACCGAGCCAGTTGGGTTGCAACTGCCTGCTGCCAACCAGGATTCATTTGGTCATCATGTCAAGAGGTACAATGGGCTTGCACTAAAACTATTTAAGGAAAAAAAAAAGCCCACCTAGATATACTGAGCTTAAGTACCATAAGATGATGCAGAAGAGGAAGCCCCTGCTCTGAGCATGCCAGGAGGACTGGGGGGACGATTTCCCAGTGACATGCTGGGAGGGGGGTGCCGGAGCTGCCTCCCCTCGAGTGCACCAAGCACATCACTCTTTTACCGGTCTCTCCTCATTCCCCATGTATGAGGGGGAGGGAGGTTCCCCCAAAAAAGAGACCAAACCGTTCCCCTCAGGGCCATGCCGCAGATCCCTGGACATTGTTGCACAATGGAGCGTTGGCGCCGGGGCTGAGGCAGGTATGGGCAGGAGACCATGGGGTGGGGAGAGAGATGGAGACACGGACTGAGAGAGAGAGAAAAAAGTGATGGAGAGCTGCAGGCAGGCGGGACACGAGGGCTGTCTCGCTGCAAGCCCTCTCGCGCTTAGCCGGAGGCATTGATGTAGAGCTGGCTCTTGAGGATGTAGTCGATGACGGGCTGGCAGAGGTAATCCACGACGTGTCCATCCCCGTGTTGCAGGGCCAGTCTGGGGATGCGGGGTGAGAAAAAGGGGTCAGAGCCCTCTTGGGTGGGTCAGGTGCCCCCACATATGGAGGGGCTGGCTGGGGGTAGCCCTCTCCCCACTCCCTAGTGGGAGTCCCCCTGCATCACCCACCTGCTTTTGGTGGAGCTGACAACTGACATGGGGTGGTTTGAGTCGTCCTTCACCACCAGGATGTTGTTCTGCAGTGGAAGGAGGAAGAGAGGAGTGAAGGGATGGCCTGAAAGTGGGTGTCTGCCCCACCAGCCCCACCCCACCCTCTGGCTGCATGGTGGCCCCCTTGCTCACCCCACCTAGGAGCTGAGAGCATCTGGCCTTGAGACATTTTGTGCCCTGTGGCAGAAGTGCTCCCACGGGTAAAGGGAGGCTGTGGGTCCTCTCACAGCCTTCCCCGGCCACGTGTACATCTGCTTACTTTGTACTTGCGGAGTATGGAGGAGTGGTTCATGATCCGGTCAGGGTCTGCTCCATCCCGGGGCACCACCACGATCCCGAACTCTCCAACAATCACCTCCATCTAGGAGCAATGCAGAGCAGGGAGAACTTTACAACCATCCCACACAAAACCTGCCACTGTCTGCCACCCGCCCTGCCTCATGAAATTTGTGCCATGGCCTGGATGGAGAGAGAAATGAATTTGAGGCTGTCATCTCAACAGTCTTTGGCAGAACTTGGAATTATCAAGGCGGTGAGTGGTCTGCAGTGGATGAAATAAAAAGGCATAGGTTAAATACTATTACTAGACGTTGAGGTTAGGCTTCAGGGAGGACTTGTCGTGGTAGAAGGAGGGTGGCAGCAGAAGAGGTTGCCCAAGGAGGACATGACCTCTGCCTCGCTGGAAGGCTTTATGAGCAGGACGGACATGTTGGTCCTAACAGAGGTCTTGTAGGCTTCTTCTTCCAAGGTTGTTTGCGCAAAGGCTGGTGGCCAAGTTTGCCACTGCAGGGGATCAGCTCCCACTGCTCGCACCCATCTCGGCTGAAACAAACCAGGGTCATCTGAAAGAGCTCTGGGTCAGCAAATTCAGGCAGCAGGAGCCTGTGAGGTGGTGCTGGTGCAGAATGCCTCTTTTGACATCCAATTTTTGCATCCTTTGTGCTGGGCTTCAAGACTTGCCTCATCTCAGATTTTGCAGCCTTTCAGAGGGGATATCTGCCAGCTAATTGTTTTTAAAAAAATTAGGATTGAAGGTGTGCGAACTGATTTTAGACATGGTGGAGAAGCTCAAGGAGGTGGTGGGTTGTGTTGACCACCCAATTTCAGCAAGGAGCAAGGTGAACTCCGACAGCCAGCACCGCTCTGACTGCCAGGAGCAGCGTGGGGGTCAGTAGCCCAGCCCCTCTCTAGGGCTGGTGTCCTCCCATGAAAACATGCCTTCTTCAGGCAGGGACCGCAGTGTCCAGAGTGCCGGGTGTCCTGCTCCAGTCCTTCACTAATGGAGGGGGGTCACAGAGAGGTGGGCAGTGGATTTCATCCATTTGAGTTGTGGCAGTGAGAAGGTGCTGAGACGGGCTCACGTCAGCTGTGAGTTGGTGTTAGGCATCATCTGGCTGAGGAGTCAAGATGGTTTTACTTCTCGGACTTTGTAAAGATGGGTATGTGGGTACCCCACATTGCAGGAAAAGTCTTTTATTAAGCGAAAGCTGTCAATTTGGTTGTAAATGTGTTTAATTTCTAATGTCTGGCCAACTTTTGTATGTATCTTGGCTCCTGACTCCACAACTCACTCTGCTGGGACTGGCATCTACTTGGTACTGGCTCCTTCCAAGGGATGAGAAATGGGAGCAGAACCTTTGGAAATCCCTTGGGGTGGGCTTACCCAGCACCCCAGGTGATGTCCTCTGCATGAACAGTGAGTGGGAGCAGGGCTTGGGTCTGCGGAAGGGGAGGATGGGTAGGGCTGGTGGTTTGGGAGCAGAAGACCCCGTCCCCCAGGCTGCCCGTGTGTAGGGGAGGCGAGGGTTAGGGTTGGGATGGAGGAGGCAGTAGGGGTGGTGGACACAGCTCCTGCCATCCCGAGGGGCCCGGGGAGTGACTCCCAGGAGCGCTGGTTGTGGGAGGCAGAGGAGGAGGAAGGGAGCCTGGGAAGAGGAGCGTGGAGGGGTGCCCAGCGGCGCTGACTCACGTCCGCCTCGTTCCAGAGTCCGGGGATGCAGAAGGACTCCAGCAGGTCGCTGCCACAGAGCAGTAAGATGCGAAGCTCTGAAGAAAAGAAGCAGAGAAGCTCAGAGGTGGGAGCCAACGGGGCTGAGCAGGCACTGTGCCCCCCGCCACCCCACCGCACTGCTCGGGGGGGATCCTCTTCTGCACAGACCTCTCCTGCCAAAACAAGTCCTGCTAAAGATCCCGTGGTCCTTCTCGCATCCCTACTGGTACCAAACATCAAGTCCCCCCACCCCACTTCATCTCAGCTCCTCTCCTGGCTTGCTATGTGCTGTTCAACTACGGCTGTGCTCCAGCCCTCGAGGCGGGCTGTGCCCGGGGAAGGGAGCCATTTCGCCATGCTGTGGGCACCCACAGTCACTTCGTGGTCTGCAGCAGGGGCTCGAGAGCCCAGGCGACTGCTCAGAGCCCTGGGCATGGCCGTGTCTGCTTTAGCAAAGCTGACGGTGAAGCACCAGAGGTTTTCCTTGCTCATCTTGGAGGACTTCCATGTCCTCCCTTTCTCTCCCTGGGCTGGGACTGGTGCTTGCTGACAGCTTGCTTTGAGGGCTGGCTTCGCTGCTCAGCCAGAAAGTTGTGCTGCGGGAAGGAGCTTCCTGCTCCCACGGGCCCATAAGGATTAATTTATTTGCACAACCACCAGAGGAAAGCCATAAACCTGCCCCAAGGGCTGGGAAGAGGCAGCTGCACGGGAAGGTGCCTCCCAGGTTGGCATTTCCAGGTGGCCAAAGCCTTTGGGCTCTGCATGGTGCCCGTGCTAGGATGGGTGTTGTGCCAGGCCGCGCGTGAGCTAGCCCATGAAACGGGCGTCAGAAACACCCGCGCGCTCCCCGTGCAGAGCCCTGGGTGATGCACGGAGCTGCCAGGTGCCTGGCAGCCCGGTGGCTCTAAACCCCATAAAGGGCCGTAGAGAAAGGGGCACCGTGGCCGGTGGGGTGGCTGAAATCTCTCCCGCTGCCGTGCGCAAAGCTCTGCAGGGCTGCAGGCAATGCGAGGACGTGGGTGACTCCGCCACGGGAGGTCAAGTTTGACCGCGCTTGGGGTGACTTCCAAGGCACGATGCCACGGCAGGTCGGCGCCCGCTGCTCACTCCCTTTTTTCCGGCTGCTTGTCTGCCAGTGGGAACAGCTTCAGGCCAGTTTAGGGCTGCTCCCGTTTCACCCCTGAGCCCTGGTAGCTGGCACCAGGGCGAGATGCTTCAGCATCCTTCGTTCGCCACCGAATCCGACACGCAGCGTCGCTCCCGAGCCACGCAGCGCTGGCCCAGAGGAGCCAGGGCAAGGGGACCTGCGTACTCACCGATCTCCTCATATCTCATCACTGTCCCCAGGTTGGCGTTTTCATCTGGGGAAGGGAAGCAAAAGAGAGGTGCTGGTGCCTGGCCTAGAAGAAGGGGCTGGGAGGAAGGTTGGGGGCTGGAGCTAAAGCAGGGGTGATGCTGGACCTTCCCTCCACGTACCCACAAAGGTGAAGCGCTCCATGGGCGGGCGAACGCAGCAAATCCGGCTCAGGCTTTCTCCCACCTTCCCCAGGATCTTTGCTAAAGATGAAGAAGAAAAATTAACGGGACTGTGTGACCAACAGGCGCTTTGACCACCCTGGTCCTGTGAGATACTCCTGTGCCCGGGTGCGGGAACTGCTCTTAGCATCTCCCCACCACCTCCTTTCGCCCTCTTAACTCCAGAGAGCACTATGCTGTGCCTTGAAGGGGCCAGCTGGACAGCTAAAATCACTAAAAAATTTACTAAATGTTAATTTTTATGGGATTTAAGTAATGCCCCCTCTTATCCCCAGCTAATATCTCCATATCCCACATCCTATGTGCTTTTGGGGAACCCAGCCACATCACCTCTCCTGCCAGTTCATCCCTTGCATGCACCCGGTGGGTAGCAGGTAGCCTTTCTCTTAGCTGATCTCACTGCCTGGACATCATCCAGCTGAAGTCCAGTAAGATTTCACAGCCATTTTAAGTCATTCTTGGCTCCCCTTGCTGCGTTGGATGTTAAGGAACTCCTCCAACGCATCCCCACCCAACCCTGGGCCTGATGTGTGGAGCCTGATGAGCGACCTGACCCAAAACTAAGATGATGGAGCACCGTTGCTAACACTTGGAAGCCCTGGCTAGGAGGTGAGGGGTGGGTGGTCATCCCTCTCTTCCCTACCCCACTGCCACCTACCCGCGGTGGGCTTGTTGGAGACGTTGTTGTTGTTGTTCTGGTAGATGGTCTGTGAGGACTCGTTCTGGGGCTGGCCGATCACAGGGGTGACAGAGGGTGTGTTGACGTTGGAGAGGATGCAGCCAGTCACTCTCTGCAATGAGGGAGTTGTTGGAACAGTGCCTTCACCCCAGCTACCTCCCAAAACCTTTATGAACCCCGTATTGAGCCTCCGCACCCCAGCTGAAGGTCATCTTCAGTGACAGGTATGTCCAAACTCACTTTAGGATCCCAAGTCCCATCCAGCCTCACCAGATGGGCCTGGGGCCAGCAGGACCCTGTGGATAATGACTTGTGATTAAGGCTGGGGACGGTGGGATTAACTTCAGTGTGGACCCATGAGTCTGCCTGCAGGCAGGCATCGCCCCCATCGCCTAGAGGTGCTCATAAATTCTAACGAATAAATAAAAATACAGCAGCTGATGAATCAGTGATGCAAAGCCAGCAGCTTACGCGTTACCCCGGGAGCAAACGTGCCCTCTTCTCCTCCACTGGTCCCTGGAGGAGAAGGCAGGCATCTCCAGGGGCTCGCTGGCTTTGAGGCTATGGACCCTGCATGCACCGGACATCCCACCAGGCTGGTTAATGCTACTCCTGTGCCGCTTGTCTGGGCTGCCCAGAGTTAGTATGATGCTCTTTTATCCGTTCACCGTCCTTGATTTCCGTGCTATATCCAAGTGTGTTGGCTGCAGCCCTGCTCTCCCCGCCCCCGTGGCCACCCGAGGCTGGTCACCTTCCTCCTCAGCTCTCAGGCCTGCCTGGGCTTTGGAGGGACTTTTCCTCCTGGGTTTTGTGCTCCACGGGGACTTCCCAGATGCTGAATTTTCCTGCTACTGTTGGGTTCATACAGCACTTCCGACTCAGCGGGTGAGAGGGGATGCCCATCTACCTCTCCTTCCCCTCAGGGTGGAGCAAGCTGTTGGCATTAATGATTTGGCTTATGCCCACCGCTGCCTTCAGTCCGCCTGCACCCCTGCTCCCCCCGCCTGGTGCGCGTGGGACCGGGACGCCTGCTGGCTCCGGCTGGAGGGCTCAGTTTGCTTTCACCATCAGGACAAGGAGCTCAAAGCGGCCGTGACAAGGTATCTCACACCTCTTCCAGGTCAGGATTTCAGACACTTTCCTGCAAGTCTTCTCTCCGTCTGTCCCAGACGTATTTTGGTTGTTGATGCCCATGTGCTGGTGCAAGAGCTACCCCGCTTCCTGCACTCTTGCCATGCCCTCACCCCAGATGCACCCACAGTAGGGGTCTGCCTCACCTTCATCAGGTCACGGTGGTGCTCCAGCACGCTGCAGGTGGTCTGCCAGGTGTCCTGGTAGCACTCCCAGGGGTCCACCCTGTGGGGAGCACAACAAGGCAACAGTGTTGGCCAATGGCCAGTGCCCTGACCTCCTGGCCATGCTACCTCCTCCCCACCGGGCCAACCAGCAGTGCCATGAGCAGTCACCATCGCTCCCCCAGCTCTCCTATGGACCACGTCATAGAATCATAGAATCATAAAGGTTGGAAAAGACCTTTAAGATGACCAAGTTCAAACATTAACCCAATGCCACCATGCCCACCAAACCATGTCCTGAAGTGCCAAGTCTACTTTTTTGAACACCTCCAGTGATGGTGACTCCATCACCTCCCTGGGCAGCGTGTTCCAAGGTTCGACCACTCTCTCAGCAAAGAAATTTTTCCTATTATCCAATCTAAACCTCCCCTGGTGCAACTTGAGGCCGTTTCCTCTCATTCTATTGCTAGTTCCTTGGGAGAAGAGACCAACACACACCTCACCACAACCTCCTTTCAGGTAGTTGTAGAGATTGTCCTTCCTCCAGCCCTTCCATCCAGCTCTCCCTAATAGCTTTGGGGACCTGAGCGTGTGCCTGGATACTTTTCCACTCTTGGTACCCAACTAACCAGCTTTCATTTGGCTTGGATGTAACTACACGTGTTACAATCCTGTTTCCTGAGGGCAGCCCAGAGATGTTTCTGGTCCCACCTCAGTCACCAGATGCCACGTGGCAATGCTGAGAAGGAGAGAGTCCGTGGACTGGTGCTGCAGGTGTAGAAAGGGAAGGTGCCATAGCACAAGGCTGGGGTGGGCTGGGTGACTTTGGGCCCCACCTAGACACCACGGACGCAGCCCCTGAAGCCAAAGGGCTCCCTTGAAGGATGGTGTAACACTCCTCATCAGTTCTGCTGGACTAGGAGAGGAAGACCTCTGGGTTTTAATCAAGCTTTGGCTGGCAGAGGAGGAAGTCCATCCTAGAGCTCTAGCAGCTGGTGGCATCTCCACTTTGTGGGCAGAACTTTGCCATCACAGTGCCGGGGAAGGGCCAGGGGCTGCTGGGGGCTGCTGGTGCCACGGCAGGTGCAAGCTCTGCCACTTACCTGATCCAGTCAGAGGACTGGACGGCCAGTTGGCACATGGTCAGGCGGTGCCGGCTTGAGACCAGACCCTGAAAGAGAAGGTGATGGAGGAACAGTTATGGGAGGCAAGCATCATGCCCTGGCCAGCCTGGGCTTGCAAACCTTCCCAGGGCAGAGCTTCGGGCTTGCTCAGGTGAGACAGGCCAGAAGGATTCGATCCTGCCCACAAAAATTTATTTAAGCTCCTGATTGCTGGAGGGGAGGAGTCCCTGCCTTGCACCAGCCCTGGTTATGCATTGGTCGGTGAGATTTGCTCAGCACCACCCCTCAGCCCTGCACTGCAGTGGGGCCAGACCCAGGAACAGTGGTTTCTTGATGAAATTTCTCCAGCTTTCAGGGGAGGAGGAGTCTCTCCTCTCCTAATTTGCATTTCACCCCAACCCAGAAAGTGGTTTTAAGGGTCCCCGTTTGCATTGTCACCATCCCTGCAATAAAATTGGCTTTGAAATTATTCAAACAAACAAAGCCACCACCGTTCTGGGTGACAACATTTCTCTTTGGTGGGGCTGGTTGTAGGGTCTTGGTGCGGTTTTTATCTAAAGAATGAGCGGTTTCATCCTCTCCCTCCTCTCAGAGACTTCCCCATGGTCAGGAGCTGCCCCGAGCAGAGGAGGACCATGAAAGGACCACGGGTGCAGGCAGTGCTGCCCAGTGCTTGCCCTGGTTTCAGAGATACCGTCGCACATGGGAGGCAGAAAGGGAAAACGAGGACGACCCACCGTCTTCCCGTAGGAGTCGTGCACGGGCGAGACAATGCCACCGATGACGATGAAGCGTCCAGTCTTGTGCAGGTAATCCCGGGCTCGCTCTGAAGGAGGAGGACAAGGAAAAGGGTGCAGGGGGATTGAGCGGGACCCACCGACCCCACAACACCCCACTGCCGCCCACTGGCTTTGACCAACGCCTGTGGAGCGGCTCATCCCGGCTCGGGCAGTGCCAGGTAGGGAAGGCGACCAAGGGAAGGGTTGGCTTCATCTTTACTGCCTGTCTCACTCGGTGCCATCCTTGGCGATGCTGAGCGTGGGCTTTCCTGGGGACTCCCGAACCTTGTGGGAAGGAGAATTTGGTGGAAGAAGGCAGGTCTTTAGCAAAAGCTAAATCGCACTCAGACCCCAAATCACCTTCAACCACCTCGCCAGGGCAGCGGCAGGGTGGCCGCCGAGAGCCTGCACCACCGCCGAGAGCCGCTCCGCAGAGACGGGCTGTTTGGGCAGCCCTGGAGGAGCCAGACCGAGCCCACAAGGTGATGCATGAAGCTGGTTCATTCACTGCCTGCAGACAAATCCTTTCTTTTCTCTGCCCAGAAACTGCGTCCACCCTTTCTCTCCCCATGACTTCTCCCTTCTTTGCCTCCTACAGATAGCTGCTGACTACCAGCCAAAAGCTTTCTTAGCAGCTGGAAGATGACCGACAGCTCTCCTAACCTCGAGCATTACTTCTGACAAGGACTTCTTAGATGTGGGCAAAGTTTAAAAAAACAGGATAATAACAAAGCCCGCTACCTCCACCACCGCCAGGCTGCGGGACAACCACGTGGTTTTATGGGCAGAAAACTTTTTGCTGGCTCATGCGTCAGCGGCTGGCCATAACTCCTTGCAGAAGGACATCAGTACAGGCTGGGGAATGGATGGATGGATGGATGGATGGATGGATGGATGGATGGGTGGATGGGTGGATGGATGGGTGGATGGGTGGATGGTGGGATGGGTGGATGAATGGATGGAGAGCAGCCGTGCTGGGAGGGGATACTGGTGGGTAACAAATTTGACATGAGCCGGCAACGGGTGCTTGCAGCCCAGAAAGCCAATTGTGTCCTGGGTGCACCACCAGCAGCATGCCCAGCCGAGTGAGGGAGGTCATGCTCCCCCTCTACTCTGCTCTGGTGAGAACCCATCACACACGGAACTGCACGCATGGGTGCTCAGCACGGATGGATCCCTGCCACCCTCACCGCAAGACCTACGCCTCACATGCGGCTGTTTTGGAAATGCTGAAGGGTTGACCAGGAGGAGCAGCGCACCAGGACTGAGATGCTCATTCCCATCTGCTCCTCTCTGCTGGAAAGTGCTGGGATGCTGCTGGTGAGCTCTCAACCTCTAGCTCTAACCCTGCTTGCTCGAGTCCTGCTTGCTCCAGCCCTGCTTGCTCCAGCTTTGCTTGTATCCTGCTTATTCAAGCCCTGCTCGCTCTCTGCTTGATCCGCCTCACAGAGAGCAGCTGCTGCAGGACGAAGCCTTGGAAGAGGAGAGGAAATACTGGTCTGAGAGCATGTCATTGAAGGGGGAGAGCCCTTTCTGCAGGCCCTGGGGCGTGGGGGCCCAAATGCCCTGCGCATGGGCTCCTGGGGTCCACCCGTTACCTGCTGACGCAACCCGACTCCCTCGCCTACGGCCCTTTCTCCCTCAAATTCTCACTGCTCCCCTCGACACAGCCTGTGCAACGTCAGCCGCGTCGTCCCTGGGGCTTTCCCCGGGTGCCCTTCCCACCTCAGCAGCCGCACGGCTCTTACCCCTCTCCCTCCCCGGTCGGCACCACGCGTTGCCTCTGTCCCACCGCGCCAAGAGACTTGCCAGGGTCCCTCCAGCCGGATCGCAGAATCACAGAGTCGCTAAGGTTGGAAAAGGCCTTTAAGATCATCAAGTCCAGCCATCAACCCAACTGAAGCAACAGCCTCGGGCTGGTGTTTCCAAAAGGTGACATTCCAGGGTAAAAACGCCAGCAAAGACTTGCTGAACTCCCATGAGCTCCTACGTCCATTCGTGCCCCGACGCTCCTCTGAAGGTGCTCTCAGAGAAGCAAAGATGGCTTCTCACCAGCGCTGGAGACGGAAAGTCCCAGCTTTCCG